AAATAATAGATGACACAGGGAAGACTGTTGACCTTTCTCTAACTATTGTCGTGATGCCCTTTAAATCGCATAATGCGACTAGTAAATAAAAATAATATTGATTTATTTGTTAAAAATTCGTTGGAAGCTTTGGTTAATATTTTAAATAATCCAATTGTGTAAATATTGTTTATCTTTATCTATTATTTTGTGTCGTTGAAATCCATTGTATTTGTCAGCTGTTATGTTAATCTGTATAATTTTATTTTTGGTCAAATTCTACGTTTATGTTCCTATTCTTCTCTTATTTGTAATTGGGTATTAACCCGTTTAAAAATAAAATAAACAAGTCAAATGCTCAACGGTTACATTAAAGGTATTGAATGCAGGAATACGTGTTATTGCGGAAGTCGATTGTTGAATAACTGATTCATTTACTTCGAAAAAAACAAATTTGAGCAAATAAAATAGTACTTAAACACAATTTTAAGTGAAATATCACTTGTCGATTTCTACATTAACCTAGAAAAGTAGCCGATTTAGTCAAATATTTTTACATAATTGATATCTAACCATCCTGAGTTAGCCTAAAATGTCCAACAAACAGGCCACTTCAAACCCCTTAAGATGGGTCAAAACATATTCATTGGAATCAAACTTATAAATTTTACAACAGTTTTTGGCTACAATAAATGCTGACTTGAGAGCATATTTTTCTTCAATGTCTAATAAGTAAGCATGCTGTTCCCCCAATACACGTTCAATCAAGATTGTCAATGTATTATTTTCACTTCAATATCTATTTGTATCATAACCTTTTTTTGTGACTTACGAAAATCCTTAAAAAGTAAAACGTTTTTTTTTTCAAATTAACTTTGAAATTTATAGAAAATATGTTACATTTTTTTAATGTAGCCATTGAGCTACTAGGGAGGGTATTCTAGAGATGGGCTCTCCCTCCTTTAATACTCCTATGGATTTGTATGGGAAAAATCGCCTTCGATGATGTATGTAACCTATGTTTTTAAACAAGGTTTTGAACCCAATTTGTAATTGAATTTCACAGTTGTAGTTTTCAAAACCGATTATGAGTCGATTGAACAATTTACCAACACGACTTTAACCGCTTTAGAATGTGCATGCTATATAAACAGCTGTACAATGTATTATACCTACAATATTTTTGTAATCTTCAGTATAAAAACTCTCATATATTTATATGAATATCGTAAAAAGGCCTTTGCGTAGTATGTTCTTTTTCGAATTCCAGCAAGTATAATAATAATTTCAACCGTTGCATCAACCCCTAACCTAACCTAGCCGGTTGTTTTTTAAATTGTTCTCAATTGGCAATGTAAAATAAAAAAGGTATTTCATCGTGCGTTTCTTCAATTGAAAATCTATTCATTTACCGTTAAAACGAAATTGTTATTGTGTTTTCTGATGTTGTTGTCGTTGTAACTGCGTTCTTATTTGCACAAATGTTTCATATGCGAAAATATTTCACCGAAAAACAACTTATTTTTTTGTTCCATATAGGTCGGTACTATTAGTTTTTATAACTTTATGCGAATTGTTGTTTTCAATATTACACAGTATTTTTTGTGCCTGCATATTATTTTTCTGTTCGAATACACATAAAAGCAATTTTCATAGATCAAATAGATCTACACAATACCTTGGTAACCTCTACATTAAGCATAATTTTAATTCGTAAAACTACAAATAAAGAAAAAAGATTAATTAATCCCTCTATTTTCAAAACAAATATGCTTTGCTTAAAAGTTAATATAATATAATATAAGTCAGCGCTTAATTATCAAAATGTAATCTATAATACATGATAATTACGAAGCGATTTAAAATTATATATATATATATATATTTTATTAACTGAATACAGGGTGATCATATTATCGTGAACTCTTGTACATTGTTTTTATACAGTGTGATTAAAATTTTTCAACAATTTGGTTTTTTTTGTTTTTATCCCCCTCCAAAACTAATTATACTGCTTAGAATTTATAAACATTAAAGGGTGGCAAAAAAAAAATGACTAAACATTCTCATGTGTGCACAAGTGCCGAAATTGTATGCTTTTCGAAAATATTTTCGATTTATTATAACCTTAGCATTTTTAGTATAAAAAGTTTTACCAACAAAATTACACACGGGAAACCCCGAAATTTCAACAACTCTCTCTCCTCCTGAGAAAAAGGCTGAATGTTTTTAAAACTTGTTTGGCGCAATTTAAGATTTAACAACTAACAAGTCAAATTAATTCCAATAGAATTTTTTTCTTTATTTCACTTTTCGAAGCAAAGTTTAGGAGATTTAGTTCGGGAAAATTAGACCGAAGGTATATTATCTAGAATGAAACTATAACATATACAATTTTCTCAAAAAAAAAAAAAAAAACTGTGATCAAACTTATTTTATATAATGGAAAACCCATCAAAAAAGGGGGAAAATTATACTTTTACCGTAGTCAATTTCCAGGTTACTATGTGTGAGTGAGTAAATAGACAATGAAAATATTTCATTATATTGTTAACAACGATATATGGGCTATTATAACAATACATTTATACAGATTACAGAGAGAACCTATTTTATATTTGTAACCAATTTATAAAGATAACATAATGTTTAAACTTTGCTCTCTTTTTGACATTTTCATCTTAGCTCTGGCACATAACCGAAAAAAGCGTTACCAAAAAAGCGTGACGAAAAATTACAACACGGAGTGAGGTTGGGGGTGGGAATGGGGATTGGGATGGAATAGGGTTGGGGTTGGGAATTAGCTCTTGCGCATAACGGAAAAAAATATTACCAAAAAAGCGTTACGCTGTTATCTGATAAGAGATAAGAGATATTGTACGTTCAACGTTCAAATTAGAGCTAAATGATAAGTTCAAAATAGTTTAAGGGCCTAAATTCTCTAAAAATTGTTTTAAGCCAGATATTAAAAACTACAATATTAGCCAGAAACTTGATGTTTTAATATACTAGCCACCTTAGATACTAGTTACTAGTTACTGCTTGTTAATATACTATATCATTATTTATAATTCCACCACTACACTAAATTTATTTGGTACTTCAACGCGACATGCAAATGCTCTTTCGTGGTTGCAGACTTGGCTAAAAAACTTTTTTATTTTAATTAAACTCCTTGTGGAAGCAAGTCCTTTAATGTGTAAAGCCTCAAGTGTAATTGTCATTTAAATGTATTGTAGTATGTTAAGTATGTAATCAGTGAATGTACAATTAACAAACTGAGAAACTTAAGACTATACAAGCATTACAAGAAAAAAATAGGACTTATTAGCTGTTATATTAGGTATTATTAGGTAATAGTCTATTTTTTATTCCTTCGAAAACAGTGTCCAATAAGAATATAATAATAAATATTATAACTTTTAAACTCTTATAATATAAAAAATAGTTCAAAGTCGGTATTCAATATATAGGAAGGGCCCCCCCAATTGATATTTTAATTGTGGTTCGAAAAGTCAAAATCAGGTCAAACCTGTGTTAAAAACACAACTGTTGCCATCATTTACCGTATCGTTTTTTTTTCGCAGTAGGTGCAAAAGTAGCGTTATGTAAATATAAAACTACCCGAGAAAACATTACCCCTTCCCTCCCCGCCTCGTGCGAAAGTTCTTGAAAGTCGACAAACGACGAGTACCGTTTCTTGTTAGATACGCGACACGTAGGCGCGACATTGTCACTTGTAATTTCATATTTTTTACCATTATACGTATAAACAAATTCTTTTAATTAATCCGCGCGTCGAAAATGAAGTCTTTATCGTTTTTCTGGGCTATACACGTCTTGTCGTGTGCGTTGTGTTGTATTGCAAAAAACTACTCGCACACGATGAACGAGCTGCTGTATTATCCCGCGTGGCTGGCGATGGCCGAGCAGGGTGAACACCTCCTCAACGTTGTAGACCAAACAGAGGATGGGCAAATCGAAGTGACCTTTAACGATTTGACGGCGACCCCGGTGACCGAGGAAAACCAGTCAGAAAAAATCCGCCTAGCCCATCAGTTCTTGAGCTGTTCGTACGCCAGAGTGTTGACAGACTACTTGGACCACGAGAGCGTCATAGGGCATCTGTGCAGGGGACTATCGCACTTGGCTGATAAAGCGATCCTGTGTCTTGAAGATTACATGCTGGTAATCAAGTCTAAACAACCGATGATTGCTCGCATGATGGGCGCCCTTTCGTCCCTACAAGATTTGTCGCCCGAAACGTCATTCGAAACAGGAGTCTATGTGATTTTGTTGGAAATAAAGAAATACTGCCAGGCAAAAACCGCCTCCAAACCACCGGAAAGCTCTGAAGATGAAATCTGTATAGTCGTTAACACCAAATCCGCCTACTCCGAAAAGCACGCGTCCGCCATTGCAACTCGATCAAACAATTTCTACAATAGGTTTTGCCGGCCCCTTTCCAGTTGGACCCGAGACCATAACGGCGATACAGAAGCTTTGCGCCTTGGTAAGGAATTAGCCAAACGTGACCCAAACGCTATGTGTTTAATAAAAGAAAAGTTAAATGTTATAACCGAAAAGTTTAACCTATCGTACGACACTTCCGGCTTTCAACACGATTGGGACTCGAACGCCACTTATATAATACCGCATGTCAAAGGACGTTGAAAAAAAACGGGGTTCTTACGCTTTAAGCCTCAAGGTATAAAAATATTTATAATGTATTTCAGACCTTATACATACTTATACGACCGAAATTGTAATAATAATGAATTTTTTTTGTGACTTAATTTTGGAAATATATCGTTATTTAAATAAAATAGCAATTTTTTATTTATTGTCACGGTACCTACATTTATCATTTTAGCCGATTTCCATCTTAAAAGGACGTCATACAAAAAATAATAACACCGAAATAGTACTTTTATATTTACAATGGTATAATGTGTGATTACTGTGATAACAGATATTGGGACACATTTGATAACTTTGAAGTACGCCGATGGCCATAAGTGATAAGAGTTTAAAGTTTAAACTCTAAACTTATACTTTTGGTCGATCAAAGTCTCCAAGTTCAGTTCTGGATTGTACAATTGAGTTTTCGGACAACACTTGAGTGAAGTATAATGCGAAATCTTCATAAAGAATATTTGTGTTATTAGACTCCTCTCTCAGTTAAGTAGCCAATTTGAAATCAACCACAGTAAGTACCTAGTGACTAATTATTGTAATAACTCTTTTTAACAACATTTAATTGATTATTAGTTGTACATCATCCAGTTCAGATGGTTAGTAGTCAGTAAATTAATAAAAAAACATAGTGACTCACAGGAGATGAAGGTACACTTTAACTCGCTTGCGCAGTTAAAAATGGTTAAAAAATTAACAGCCGTAATTTGATATTTTAAAGCAAATTAAAGTTAAAAATTTTAAGAAGCTCGAACAAGCAGTTTTTGTCATTTTAAAATTGACTTAAGACCGATTCATATTTTTTGCGTAGCAACCCTAAAAATTGAGTGTTTTGTTTTGTTAAGGCGACACACGAATATTGTAATTTAAAAACACTAGGTACTCGTGTTTTTTAATCGGTACTTTTTTTTCTTTCTTTTAGAAATGGCTTTAAGGGCCGCAACCGCTCGCTTACAGTTGAGATCGCTAATGACTGGAGCACACATTCCGCGTGGAAACCAGCCTATAATGAATCGTATGAAGCACTTTGACAATAAGCAACCACCAATTGGCAAACAATATCAACAAAATGGCAATAGTATACTACGTACAATTCGTAATGGAATTGCTATCGGCGTCGCAATTGGAGTCGGATATTATTATTTTATGGGTTTCGAACGTAAACTGCCCGGTTCAATAGTGAACACCCCTACGCAAACGACAATAATACAGGACATACCCGATATCAAAGTCACACGTGAAGTATGGACTAAAATAAAATGGTTAAATTAGGTACTTGGTTATTTGCTTTTAATAAATGAAAACCGATATTTTTTTGTTAGGTGCGGTATAATGATGATCAGAAAGCAGATTTAATTTTATTTCAATACCCTACTTGCCCGTTTTGTTGCAAGGTTCGAGCATTTTTAGACTATTTCAAAGTATCGTACGATATAGTCGAAGTCGATCCAATGTTGAAACAACAAATTAGCTGGTCGACTTATAAAAAAGTTCCAATTCTGCTAGTTAAGTTGAACGACGGATATATACCACTTACAGATAGTACAATGATAATATCGGCAATGGCTACGTATTTAAAAAACAAAACCGTCAGCATCGAAGAGGTCGCAAATTATTATCCATCGGTTTCGTTCATAGATGCCGATGGCAAGAGAAAAACCGATATTATGAACAAATATTTCATAATGAATATCAATGAAAACATGAAAGCCGAGCAGCTTGAAATTGAGTAAGCTTTTAAACAAATAACTAGGTATATTCAAACGTATTATGTTACGAACTTTTAATATTATTATTGTAGCAATGAAAGAAAATGGAGACAATGGTCGGACGAAGTTTTAGTACACGTGTTGTCACCAAATGCTTACCGTACACTGTCCGAAGCAATAGATTCATTTAAATGGTTTTCCATAGCCGGTCAATGGGAAAAAAACTTCCCAGTTTGGGAAACTACGTTTATGATTTATGGAGGCGCGTTCATGATGTGGATGATTAGCAAAGGGTTGAAAAAAAAGTAATTTTCGCATTAAAATTGATTACCTACCCGTTGAGATATTTTGGAATTAACGGTTTTATTTTATTTAGATATAAATTAAAAGACGAAGTACGTCAATCGTTATACGACGAATGCAATGTATGGGTGAAAGAAATTAGGAAAAAAGGAGACAAATTTATGGGCGGCGAATCACCAAATTTGGCAGATTTAGCGGTTTACGGAGTCTTATCGAGTATTGAAGGCTGTGCAGCTTTTAGTGATGCCTGTCAAAATACCGATATAAAAATTTGGTACGGTAATATGAAAACCGCTCTTCAGTAATGTCGTCGTTCCTATTGTGTTATCGCGTGTGTGTAAGAAATAAACAACTATATGTTATAGTGTAAAAATGTATTTTTTAAATCTAGTGTTGTTTTTGTTGTACTTATTTTGGATTAAATGTCAATTGTTAAGTAAGGAACCGTGGTTTTGAAAGCCAGATATTTTAACTTGTTAAAACTGTATTAATAATTTGTTCCATTTAAGAGGACGTCATACCGCCAATTTTAAACGGAAAAATAAACTCACTACCAAAAGAGTCCTACAAGTTCAGTTTAAAATTACTAAACTAATAATTACACATAACAGTTTAAGCTTTAAATTAAGATTTTGTAAGAAATTGCCTATACTTATCTCCTTAATAAATAGGGGTATTTCAAAGTGATTCAAGCACATTGTTTTAATTACAAAATAGTTTTATATATTTTAGCAAATATCACACTTTACTCGTTAAGTTGACGTCAACAAAATGTGAACAAGGTATTGTTTCATCAATTAAAAGGAAAAGGTTATAAACAAAAAAACCTTAAAAACATTTAAATAAACAATAAAATGGTTATTTTTTATTAGTAGTTTTCAATCGTTTTGCGTTGAGCATTTTTTGCTTCTTATAACTTTTCAAATATTTCTTATATTCTTTTTTCCTGAGCCACGTTGGATGTTGTACTTTGGTTTTTTTTGTTGGTTCTGCAATACTGTTGGCGTTGGATTGTTTCACTTTGTCGATTTCCATTTTATCTTCTTCTTCTTTCTTGGCTTTAACTAAACAATTACAGAAACATAATTAACAAAATAATCAATATTGGAAGCATATTGAGAATTGTATTTGACAGACCGTGCAACGTCAAGTTTACCTGTCGTCAATAAATCAATATTAATATGTTCTTGTGTTTCCAAAAAGTATCAGTTAACAATTATTTCGGATAATATTACCTAAACAAACATGTTCGATTTTTCCGTCGTCGTTGATGTTTATTTCACCGGCTTTCACCAACATATTCTTCAGACGGTCCAATTCTTTAACGCCATACCTGATCCGCTTGATGGCCCTCATTTTGCGACGCCATTTACTTCTCAAACTTTTTGCCATTTCAGTCAAAAATTATTAAATAAAAATAGGTTTATTATACGGTTGTACAGGTACTGTTTAATAAATTGAAGAAAAAAAAGCACATGCCAACTACGCTGCGCTTAACACAATAACATTTTACTTATCACACATTTCGTTTAACGAATGATAACAGAGATAACAAGTATGGCTGGTATAACGAACAAGGAGGTTACAAATTTCCAAGGATCACTACATAGTCTTTGTATTTGAAAACCGAGTTTTGATTGCGGTTTTTTATTATAATTTAAAATTTAGATTTTTCTAATAAGAATAATATTCAGTCTTTAATCTGTTTATAGTTTTCAATGTATTGACTGTTCTAATTAGAATTAATTTCTAAAGTTGTTATTGGGAAATAAGTCAAGTTAGGTTTGTTTGAAAAATTATAAAATAAAGATGGCCATCTTAAATCGGATTCTTTTCGTTTACATATTAATTATAAAAACGTATGAGGTATTTGCATAGAAGTCTGGCAGCCCAACAGTGAACTGAATACTGGCATAATAATATTATACAATATTGCCGGGTCACCGACACGTCTTGGGCTAGACATGACGTTTGCTAAGAATATTGTGATAAGTGATAACACGTCAGTGATAAGTGATAACACGAGATGACAACTCTGAAAGAAAAATTCAAAAACCGTTTGCTTGTATAAAGTTTGTTTATAGTTTGTAACTTAAATCAAAAACAGTTTATGAACATTTCCCTCAGATTTGTATATATTTATTTCACTTTGTTTCCTTGAAATTTATTTAATTAGTGTCTTTTTTTTTTATTGCAATAATGGCGGTTAGTGTTGTTTATTTAAACGGATTTTAATGAAAACTTCCTGTAATAATGATTCGTTTTGTATTATTTCATTTAGCCCCAAAAAGGAAAAACCGGTACCAGAGGTCAAAAACAGATCCTGGAAGAGAACTCGGCGACGTTGAAGTTTTACCGTAACATGATAATCGCCGTCAGCGCCATTTATGTGGTTTTCAATTTAGTGTTTGAAAATGTTCTTTCACTTACAAGCATAGTATGTTGATATATTATAAAATAAAATATATATATATATGAACATATTTTATTTATATTTTGTACAAAAGTTATTATTTGCATTGATAAATATCGTTTTACAGTTTATTTACGCGTTAATCATAGCGTCACACGCAGGCAGTTACCAATTTATGTCATACATGGCCAACGCAAAGTATACAGAAAGTGGCCAGTTACTAGATTCCGGCACTGATCTCAATATGGAAGGAGGCTTGGCTGAGTAATATACACTTTTATGTATTGTTTATGAAGACGTTATGTGTAATATGTCCATAGAAATCTCCATTTCGAGCAAATTATTCTACTTTTTACGGGGATTGAAAGCTGAGGGGCTACTGAAGTAGTTTTATTCAGGCAAAATATTTAAGAAAAAACCGATTTCAATAAATTTTGACCATGTCGTTTTATTTACAGATTAATTGATTAATTTGTGTAAGCTTCAATGTATTATTTTTATCTTATACAATTTTGCAATAAGTAAACGCCATTTTGTATTTAAGACCGAAAAATGAGTTCAGTAATTTATCATTTACTTTTAATACATTTCTGCGTGTACTTTAAAGGGCTAATTAAATCCCCAACAGAAAAATACAACTATTTGTGTTATTACGTTTGTTACTCTTTGAAACTATTTTAATAACTTTTATTTTTCGTATTTTTTTTTTTTAGGCACACTAAGGACTTGATTATTTTGACTTCGGGTTGTCAACTGTTGTCGATGATTAGCAACTATTTTTGGTTCCTTTGGCTTTTGGTGAGTAAAACAAACTAAAATTTCTTATACTATTATACCGTTGTAAAATATTAAAAGGAAATACTGACATAACAGTCTTGGTCTGCTTGTTGCAGAAGTGTAATTTTTGTTGCCGTTAATAAACCTCTTGTGATTTTATATTGGTAAAAAATAAAAATATAAAACTTTAATATATAAACTTTTGAAGCGAGAAGTGTGTTTGTTAAACTTAAGTTATTGATTTTTGTTAATTCATTTTTTGTACAAAACTAAAACTAGTTTCCTTTAATAAGGCAAAGTCAGACAAGTTCATTATTTGAGACATTAGTTTGAAGCATTATTATAAACACATTAAAAACTAATCTAATTTTTTAATTGAAATGTAAAGTATAAAATTGTATTACAACTACCATAAACAAATTTTGTAATTTTGGTTTCGTCGTGTTGTAGGCACCGGGCCGAGCATTTTGGATTTTATGGAAAAACTTTTTGGGACCGTACTTGGCGCAAAAATCTGCTGACGAACCACCGGAAATAAGCGAGAAAAAACAAAAGAAATTGGAAAGGCGGCAAAAGCGACAGCAAAACGTTCGCCATTAGTTTTGTGAACGGCCGTCAAACGAGCTTAATATATATTTTGTGTTTGTAAGAGTTTTTTTTCAGTGTTGTACAATATCTAATTTAGATATGTAATCTTTGTAATTATCTTATGAGAAAAGTATTTGAATTGTTTTTTTTATATAGTTGAATTACGATTTTACTAAACGTATACAACAACTCAACGCCTTTTGTAGTATAATTATAATTTTTTTTTTTGTCAATGTTTTTTAAAATGTATTTTTTCTTATTTTTTACTCGAAAGTCAATTGTAAAGAAACGGTTTATAAAATTACTCGTACGTAACACGACGCTGTTTTAATAAGAGTACAAAAAAAAAAAAACAATAAACGTATAATTAACGATAATGTACAAAAGAAAATTAACCTTGTTTTTTTTTCCTACTTTACGTCGTTCATTTGAGAGTTTTATCTCTACTGTGATACAATTTTCCAGCTGTTCTTAACAATTATACGTCCGACCCGATAATTATTGCGCTAGTTTTAGTGTAAAAGAAAACTGCATTTTGTAAATTCAAACAATTTATAATTTTCAAATGAAACAATCTGTTGTATTTGGTACTTGATTATTAAATATGGTTCCAAGTTAGTTTTTGATATTGTCGAATAAGTACTTGGAACGTTTAAGAAGATACGTTTTTTTTTTTTTTTTTAATTTAACTATTATATCATTCAATCTGTATGTGGGTACGTCATTTCTTATGAGCTTGCCGATGATGTTCATTTTTATCATGGTGTTGTTCAATGTTTTTAAATCCCAGTAAATTTTTCATGAATTCTTGAAAAGTGAATGCCTGCAAATGAACATGTATATTTATTATTTTCACTGTAAATTATTATTGCACAATGATAAACACAAAACTATTATTTTTGTAATTTTTATTTAAAAAAAAAAAAATTAGTTTTTCACTCATAAAACGGTAAAAAGTATTATTGTTTTTAACGGAATGAATTTCATTATGTTTTAGAACAAACAAAACACATTATTAGATAATTTTTAATTACTTAGAACTTGAAGTGTATTTAATCCCTTTTTTTTTAAATCAAATATTATATAAATATGCGCCTTTTTTAAAAGCAGCTTTTTAAATATTACAAAAATATCAAAACATGTACAATTAATAATAATGTATGTTTTGATATTTTTTTATTATGGGTTGCTATAGGTGTACTCTTTGGAAACAGTGATTTCGTCAACTTGATTCCATCGTAGAGGAATGCAGAGAAATATTCATGTAGTTTAATTATTGGGATTGCGTTCACTTCCACTTTAGGTGAAAGGCTTTAGGTCAATTTGAAAACTAATGCTATTCCAAAATCCTGTTTCTCGGTTAGGCACTAATGTGAAATTAATTAAAATCACTTGTATACATTAGAGGTTACCCCATAATAATTCTTTGCTGCATTAAACATTTAAACTCTGTCCACGTTGGACACCTATTCGTTGTAGACATGTAATTAATGGACAGCTAAGATTTTAGATAAAGTCGTTTAGAAGCAAACCCTATCGCCTACAAAGTCATATAGCTATTAGATAATAATGTTTCAAAGCGTTATGCACGTACAAAAGGTAAAATGCTGTGAATCGAGTAGATGGACTGTTGTTGATTGCCTCTCGGCGATATGTCTTCTGTGGTTTTCGACAATATATGCAAAAGAATTTCCATCTCGCGAAAGTCAATTTTCTCGCCTAAACAAACAATCATACGTGTGAAACGCCATAAATTATCCACGACAACGCAGGGTGTCCCAAAAAAGAACGGCGGGGTTTCAAACGGCTGTCGAGTTCCCAACGACTACCGCTAGATGTCTCTGGCGGCCTACAGCCGTTTGAAACCCCGTCGCTCTGGGACACCGTGCATGTCCACGGGGAAGAAGATCCACCTCTGTTGATCATCATGTCTACAAACGACTCTCTCGTCAACACCCTCGTGCCGTCGTAACAGCTGTTGACCGGATCGCTGCACACCGTGTAATTGAATGACTTTTCAACATCGTCGATTCGCAGGTCCACCTGGGACTTGTGGTTCACGTACAACACGACCAACTCGTCGAACGTCATCGCGGTGCTGGGATGACCCAATTTGGCGTCGTCCCTTATGAGCATTTCGTGAGTCATGTTTTCCACCTGCAAGCGCGTTGTGTTCGTAGTGTGTTTATTGTTATCGTTATTGACCGTAGTCGAGAGGAGGACGACGACGACGGTTACTTCTGATTCGGACGGATAGAAACCCATGGCCCTCATCAGCAATGAAACGTCGCAAACGTCGATGAACTCCGTCAGCACCGTGTCCACCTCGGGCTTGGAACTGGTCACCAATTGAACACAGTAGAAGTTCTCTTTGAGACGCGTCATTTCTGGCCCGTTTATGCCGCCCTCGAGCAACGGGCTGTACGCGGTCAAGCCGGCGCCGCCGAATCTCTCCAGTTTTCGCAGGTAACTGTGTTTTGTAACAATTGATATAATACAGGGCGTATCGAAAAAACAATGGCGGGGTTTCAAACGGCTGTAGTGTCAGCGAGTGGCAGTCATTCGTGAAACCCGACAACTCCCTCTTTCGTTCAAACCGTACCAGAGCGCCGTAGGTGCACTACTTCACGACCTACAGTCGTTTGAAACCCCACCGTTATTTTTTTAAAGGCCCCGATGGCACGGTTGGTCCGGGTTCTCACTTGGAGTTGACGGACCACATTAATCCCGAAGAACTGTTTTCGCTAATGGTAAACAAGTAGTTGCTCCTGGGGCAAACGTCTAAATCGAGCAGCTAGAATGACAATTTGATCGTTTACGCAGAGCAAATATTAAAATCCGATTGGTATGTGTGTTTACTTTTGTCGAGGAACCGGTTATAGCGACGCTCGCATAAGGGTTTCCGTCGATGGGTTGACGCAACATACCGATGCTCTTGTCGTTGCAAAAGAATACCACCTTGTTGCATTTCACCGACTCCTTTATCGGTGCAAACGTATTATTTATTTAGGTACACCCGCCATCGCCATAAAAATGACTTGTAAAAAATGTATAGGCACTTTTAAGATCCGTAAAGGTGTTTTCAATTGGACGCCGTTTGTAGTTTTGATGCATCTGTTTTCGTCCCACTCGTATAAGCGCAACTGCAATGCGACAATGTTTAATTAGGTATTTTTATTTCATATGCAACGGGGTTCATCTGGTTCGCAGGACCAAAAGAGAAACAAATCATCAGACAGCGCCCAGAGGAGACTTTCATTGCAATTTGTTTTTGAGGTTATACTAGGTTAGACGAATATACAAGGGTATAGTATATTTGTTTAGCTTAGCCTCGTGAACTGTAAACGACCAAGCCGCCTCTGGGGCCTGTACGTAACCCACTCACGTCTTTGCCGCTGATTATAAAGGTCACTTGTTCTCTGAACGTTGACCTCATGATGCATTGAGGTTCGTTCCAAGTTTCGGTTGAAATGGATTTCACAAATTCCATACGTTCGTTTTTCCTAAATAAAAAAACAAAAACGAACCGGACGCCATTGAAAGAGATACTAGTTAACCATTTAAAACCATGCGAATCTCATCCATTCTATATTGGAAGTTATTGTCGTGTGTCTACAGGTCTAAATGACGTCTGGGACAATTGTACACAGGAGATATTTCCGCGGTATTAGCAGCCATAGGTGGTTTAGCTAGTAAACTATTATATTTATACATACAGGGTGTCCCAAAAAGAGCGATGGGGTTTCAAACGACTGTAGGTTGTAAAGTATTGGACCTACAGCGCTCTGGTAGGGCTTGAATGAAATAGAGAGCTGTCAGAGACATCTAGTGTCACAGTCATTAGGAACTTGACAGCTTCCTCTTTCATTCAAGCCCTGCCAGAGCGCTGTAAGTCCAATACTTCACGACCAACGGCCGTTTGAAACCCCACCATTCTTTTTGAGATATCCCGTATACTATATTCGACTCAGTGGCTTACTTTTTGTCAAACTTGAACACCACTATCCTGTGATCGGCGCCTACGCTGTACACCATGATGCTAGCGGTGTCTTCGAATATGACGATACCTCTTACCTCGGCCGTGTGCGCTTGGTAACAGCCCAGGAAATTCGCCGATAGCTGTTGTCCCGGCACCATAGTGTAAAAATGCAAACGGAACGTTTGGTCCTGCGTTTGATGGGAAGGAAAACACGGTGAAACCGAATTAAAAAACCCATATCTCTTCCCGGGGGGCACTCACGGCGTACACGACAAACTTGGACGAATCGTACTTGGACACGCTCGGGCTAAAAGTGATGTGACTGATTGCGGTGTTGCCCGATTTGAACGGCACCGGGATGGTTGGTGTCAACAGACAAGGATTGAGAAACCAAAAAGATCCGTCGGCCGTGCCGCAGCACAAGTAAAAACCTATACCGGAAACAGTCACGCCTATGGCTATTGACAAAGTAGTAGTACTTGCCTTTGGGGGAGAACTCGATGTTGGTAATGTATCGGCTGTCAGACGGCGGTTGGTGGTCGCTGGCGATGACGTACGAGATCAGAAACTGTTTGTCGTGATAATTGTACATGTTGAGTCTGCCGAGGGAACTGCCGAACACAATGAACGTCCTGAAAATAGTACGGTTGGAGAAAATGTCGTATCTGTTGTGCTCGTAGACCGTACTGTTCGGGGTGCACTGTCGACGAAGTGACCGATCCGTCGCACGGTTCCTGGATTTGAATGAAATTTTGATCGGCCACCTCTACCAGGATGATTCTACCGTTGCCAGTGCCTATATGGATGTGATCGTTGTCAAAAATGCAACACGCCCGAATAGCTGGTATACAAGTAATAATGCAAACGTGTCGTACTCAAGACGAACGAATCGAATTTCAATTGCGGCTCGTTTGGAATAGCAAAGTCTTTGGCGTTGTCGGGACCGGCGCATTTCTTCTTACGCGAATTCACACATTGCACTGGTTCTTCGATTGTGTCTTTAAACGACATGCATAACACAGGGTGTATAACAAAAAAATGGTGGCGTTTCAAACGGCTGTAGGTCGTGGAGTATTGGACCTACAGCGCTCTGGTAGGGCTTGAATGTCTCTGACAACTTCCTCTTTCATTCAAGCCCTACCCCAGAGCGCTGTAGGTCCAATACTCCACAACCTACGGCCGTTTGAAACCCCGCCATTCTTTTTTGGGATAACCTGTATAGTAATATAGTGCTGATCTATGAACTGTGGGTAGTAAATGGACTACCTATTTCCGTGCATTTGTCGATGGACGTTAACATGGATATCGACACTATGGAGTCGCCGACGAATTTTTTTAGATGATACAAAATCCGCAATGTCTTGTCGTAGAAGAATATGTCGCCGTTTGCGTTGCCCGTCATTATAACTCTGGAAACAAGACGTATGAGCTCATTAAAAAAAATAACTATCAATAAAAACATGACATAGTGGACATACTTTTGGCAGATTATAGTGTTGATGGCACAGTTTTGAAGCCGTACGGTTTTCAACAAACGTTTTTCGTTCTTTATAGGCGTTTCGGTGATCTCCAGCGAATTATAATCATAATCGTCCCACACCGACACGTTACCTGGCACATTAATAAATACAGGGTGTCTCAAAAAGAACGCTGGGGTTTCAAACGGCTGTAGGTTGTGCGGTATTCGACCTACAGCGCTCTGGTAGTACTTAAATGAACGAGGGAGTTGTCAAGTTTCGAATGACTGTGACACTAGATGTCTCTGACAACTCCCTCTTTCATTCAAGCCCTACCAGAGCGTTGTAGGTCCAATACTTCACAACCTACAGCCGTTTGAAACCCCAGCATTCTTTCTGATACACTCTGAAAAACGGCCATTGCGGTTGAAATTCTCACCTCCGGTAGAAGCCGACAACACTTGCCGGAAGTTGGTTATGTACACTGACTGCGTGTACTGGTGTTCTTTCTGTTCCGGATCGAGTCCGGGATTATGGACGGCCAATACGGTTTTATCGTCCACCTTGAAAAAAAAGAAAACCATCTCGATGAAACCGATGAAAGAACAGAACCCAAGCGGCGCACACACTTTGTCCACGGTCAGGAAAACGATCATTTTTTTGGTAGTGAAGCAATAGAAATTCGACCGATTCGGACAAGTGGCTATGTGCAAGACCGGATCGGTTTCAGCACCGAGTTGAGCTGAATCTGGCAACAATAAATAATAATACCACTAGTCGTGCGAGCACTCAATACATCACATATTAAAGCTGTTATGGAATATATACGTTTTGGCTCTTCTGCGCCCGAAGTCCAGTCCCACAAACCAATGGATTGTGCGCCGCTGTCGAGAGTCGACGATACAGTGACCAAGTATTTTGAGTTGATGCTAAACTTAACGGCAACCACTCCTACGTTAGGTGGCAAAAACGCTGTGAATATCGGAGTCCTGTAGGGGGTAAAAAAATTAAGTTTATACACAAGGTGTCCCAAAAAAGAATAGTGGGGCTTGATTTGCTTCTATATATGTCAGACCGTTTTAATCTTTTCACTGTCGTTATTTCTGTTTTTGCCTCATCTCATAAAAAAATCCTCATTTCTAGTTCTGCTATGTACATCTTAGCCATGCCAAAGGTCCGTCTCAAATCTCAACGTTCTCATTTTTTCAACTACTCCCATTAACCACAGGGTGGTTATTTAATATTCTAGCTAAAGCGGTATCAAGAATATAACATATATAGTATTCACTTATATACCCTTGAGCTATTTCCCAAACTACAAGAACCGAGTCGTGTCCATTGTCGGCGGTGACCAGCCAGCGGCCATTGGTTGACACGTCGAAGCTACTAATGAAATTATTCTGCAACCGATGAGAGACGAATATTATAGGTGGTAATCGTTTAAAACTAAAAAAAATATACCTATTTATTTATACAGGGTTTAATGTAAAGTTCTACCGATCTTAAAATGAGACATTCAGGATGCTCTATGGGTGCAATAAATGGTATTCATTTTTTTTAAATTTAAAAATTATTTAAAATAGAGCTCGTATCTCATTAAAAAATTGTCTTACGAAAAAAATAATTTCAGATTTGAAATCGAGAGAAAAAATCGTGTTGAATTGATGTGTTACATGATTTTTTGGTATCTGGCCACACACACACGTCCACAGGGTGGCCACTGAGTGGCCAGCATGTGACTAAAACCAACATATGGCACGCGACACATCATTTAATATAAAATAATTCTAAGGACACCACTGGAATGAGAATAAAATTCTAACCCAAAATGATGTGTCACATGTCATATGGTGTTTTGGTAACATGCCGGCCACACAGTGGCCACTCGGTGGACGCAAGTGTGGCCGGATACCAAAAAATCATCTGACATATCAATTCAAAAAGTTTTTTTCTCCCGATTTCAAATCTGAAATTATTTTTTTCGTAAGACAATTTTTTAATGAGATACGAATTCTATTTTAAATTTAAAAAAAAATTGAATACCATTTATTGTACCCATAGAGCATCCTGAATGTCTCATTTGAACCTCGGTAGAACTTTACATTACACCCTGCATGCAGTACTGTGTTTACTCACGTGGCCGTTTAATATTTTCATTTGAGTTTTTTTCGTTTCGATATTGTACTCCGATATGATACCGACGTGCGTGCTGGCATAAAACATTTGTAATTTTTTTTGATTTTTTTTACTTTTATCATTGACAATGATCTTCAACCCCATCGTTAGGTTCCATCCGTACGACCATTCAATTTTCTGTAACAAAGTGTCTCTGGCAAATTAATCGGCTACCTACTACTTACTTTTAATAGTCTATTAGTTAGACGTAGTAATGTGTAGCCTTAAGAGGACATATATATATGATTTGAGTATGGGTTTGGTCATTTTCGACAAAAATCTTATTTTATTACGGCTAATACTCAATACAGTTGTCCTCATTTTTAGGCACAAGGTTTAGGCCTCCGTTTCTACTTACGAACGGTACGGTGTCCGCCAAAGTCTCGGTATCGTTTAACGTGGGCACATGATAGCGTTTGATACGTGTGGATCGGTCCATTTCACTTTAGTTCTATGTGAACTTAAACAACAACAATATCCAATTTGCTGTGCACTCTGATAATACGTAACAATTCGTTTCTTATTTAAATTCCGTGTTGCCAAGGAGTCGTCGTTACATGCATGAGGTGTGTTTATTTTAATTAGAGTTAAAAAAAAAACTAAAACTGGCCTTGGATACTCGACAAATTAAAAATTATATTTTCTTTATAAAAATATCAACTTAAAACTATTTATCCCAAGTACAATGCAAATTTACATTGAACTTATGTGTCGTTGTCACCGACACCGCTAGTGATGTTAACAGTATGGGCAGTTTACAGGCAATTTTAATGATTTAAATTGGTAAAAACAAATAACAAATATATACACATTATATCCATACGAGATAACTTAATATTAATTTCCCGCTTTTGTGCCATTGGTAAATTACCTCGGGTAAAAAATTGTCATGATAAGTTTTAGGCAATTTATGTACAATTTTAAGTAAATTAGTTACAAACAGAAAGTTACAGCAAACATTTCTTTAGATTTAACCTTAATGAGAATAATACCGTTGTCTTAAAACTAAAATATTGTTTTTTGTGTCGATTCGATTTTACAACCATAATAAATTTAATAGCGCCTCGTAAAACTTAAATAATTATACATAGTATAAAAGTGGTATTAACTTCAACAGTCAAATTGCGTTAATAAACATAACCATTAATCTGTAAACATAATTATACGGCTAAACATATGAAAATTAGAAAAGTTTTGAAATACCACCAAAGAGTTATATACAAAATTAACATTAATTTGAAAATATCGATTTATACACTTATAAAAAGTTGTATTTATGATCACAAATTTATATAATACAATTTTTAAAAAAAAAACATTATACTAAAAAAATAACGGGTCAGTTAATTTTTTTAAAAATATTATTTTGAACACAATACGTACGACAAATTTTGTGCAAGGCAACAACTGTGTTGGATTTAACTTAAAAATAATGTAAATCTAATACAGATTACCTTATATATATGTATAAAAAGAAAACCAAATAAAAGATGTTGTACAGTTATTGTACAACACAATTTATTGACTAGTACATGCTATTAATAAAAATAAAATTTAATATACATAAATAACATTATTTTGAAAAAATCGTAACTTGAGTTATAACTAAGTTTTATAAAAGTATAAATGAATAAAACCATAAACATTCGGCATTCTACAAAACTTAATTGGTTTAAATTCGTGGTTGGCAAAGTAATTCACTAATATTAAATATGTAACTTGTCTGGACGGAATATAATTAACAGTGATTAAAAACAATCGTAAGTTTTTTTTTATATATATACCAGCTAGATGCAATATTTTTTAATACTTAATATCTCTAATTGTAATCACCTTATTTTAAAAATAAAAACAACAACGATAACTATGTATTATGTCGTACAAGTAATTATTATTATTTGTCTAAATAATATATAATCATTACAACATAATAACAAAGAAACCATTCTTTAAATAATAAAGAATTAAGGTTTGGTAAAAATTAATAATATAATATTACATCTGTTTTGTAGATCTTAGTTTTTAAAATGATAAAAAAACAATTACACGATAAACTATTTAATAATAATAATAATAATTACTCAAACAACTTATAATGATAAAAAAAAAAAAAAAACTCTTATCACCGCTTATAGAAAACCTATTATTAATATTTAATAGTTTTCTGTACGAAATAGCCAACGAGGCCGTCAAGAGTTTAACTTTTTATGTAACAGTTCCGTATCCTTTTTCAGTTTGTACAGTTCTTCCTCGATCTTGTCGGTGATCGTTTTTCGGGCTACTTCTTCGCTCGCACCCGATTCACGTAGGTCGTTCACTAGGGTTTGCAAGTCGATGGGTTCGCCGAAATTAAATGTCACCTTACGACCCGTCCGTAAGTAGTACGGCGGCGTGTTGGGCAGTATCTCTTCCATGCCGACGTGACAAATCGGTATGACTATGGGCATGATCGGCGCTTTGTATATCATTTGTCCGACTCCCCATTTGAGACGTATGTACTCTTTGGTCATGTTCACACGGCCCTCTGGGAACAAGTGCAGCCAATGACCCTTCGACAGCAGTTCTATGCTGAACTTGACAGCGTCCTGAAAAAGAGCGAAATTTTATAGTGTTAATAGTGAACAGAGTCGAGTTGAGCATTATTTGGGTAATTTTTTAAATTTTATTTACACGAAACACGATATATAAAATAATTCATTTTTTTATTTGACTTAATTTAGTTTGCAACTATATTCAATATAACAGTTGGTGAAAATGGTAACCGTTACGTTCTAACTAGAGAAAATACAATATTAAGTTTACCAACTGAATTCTCTCAGAGAATGACCATCGGTAATTCTATTTAAACACCATGACATGACCTTAAACATAGACCTCACGTATAACATGGTCTTAATAATTAGCAATACAAATTCATTCGGATACAAAATTATAACTCGCCAATGTGTATATATTATTCATTGTTACGTTGTATTAATGAATATATTAAATAACGGTAAAATTTATTCACAAAGACGAGCAAGAACAGTACAGGGTGATCGATTTAACAATTTCATGGTTTATCTTTATGAACAAATTTTTATTTATTTAACGGTACAGTATTCAAATAGCAATCAAATAGTTACTTTTTTTAAAAATATTTTCCAGACCTCTATCAACTTCTGAAACTTTAATAGTAACAACATATATATTTAAGTAACTTTTTAAATTAAGAATGAGTTGCTGAACATTTTGACTGGTCAATAACCTAGTTTTGGATAATTAGTTATTATTTTTTTAATTATCAAAATGTGCAGCATATAATTCTTAATTTAAAAAGTTAATTAAATACATTACTCTTTAAAGTTTCAAAAGTTGATAGAGCTCTGCAAAGTACTAAAAAAAAAAGGTAAATATTTGATCATTATAAATATTGTAAAATTACATAAATAAAAATGTTTCAAAAAAAAAAAAAACTATCAAAATGAAAATATCTTCTGAGAAAATCAGTCAAGTGTCTTACGTTAAATTGATCACCCTGTTTATAAAAAAAAACCCATTGTAATATTATATTAATTTTTAACCTTCTCACGTCATTCGTTTTATTATGTTGCTGTTTGTATAAAAAAAAATTCTGTAATTATAGCTTAAATGTTTGTAAATTTTAAATTTGATTCAAATAACAAAATATGTCTGTTGCAATAAAATATTTTGATATATTTTATTAATTAAACTACAGTCGAAATAATGAAAACGTGTTAAATTTATTGTAATTTTATGAAAACTATACTGTTTTAGTAAGTAGAGATATAAAATAATTAAATACTTTCGGCAGAAATGCTTTATACATGTCGAAGTTAAAAAATACACTATTTTTTACAACTATCGAAAAAAAAAAAATAGCAAACTATACCTGGTAGACTCCAGATCCTCGAATGGTCGGTATACACTGGCCGAGCATGAAGAAATAAGCACAAAATGGATTTGTAAAACATATGTCGTTTGCCGCCAAAGACCAACGGGTTTGTTTTGCTAAGAATACACTTTTCCAGTCGAAAGCAGCTGTAATACAACAAAGATATTACACAATAATGACCAGGGAAAAACTTGTTTGGATATTTTTTTATAAAATATATATACCCCAAATTCCAGGATCGTCGAAACAGGAGTCGTGATTGGAAACTGTAATGAGCGGCACATGTTTGGGTCGGTCAATGGCATCTAAGAACGTTTTGGTGTTATAAAATTTCGTTTTGTTAAGCCAACCTGCGAAATAAAGAGCAGCTGGAGTTATTACTTATGCGACATTAACAAAATTCAGCGTTGCAATTTAATGGGGGCGCTACGTGTACGTAGAGCCCAACGACAAATTTTATGATTTTTTTCTCCGCCGATGGCTCGAGCGACTCTTTTGTGGACAAAATTGAGTACAAAACAACACTGAAACTTAACCACACTACTTCAGTAGTTCAGTAGGTGAACCAGGCATTTAAGCGATATAACCTTTAACAACAGTGGTCTATCTAGTAGGCGTAACGAGACTCACTGATTATGATCTTGCTGAACAAGCCGACCGCTACCATCGTTATGTTGGACGCGACCTTCCACAGGGTCCGTTGGCTTCTCAGTTTGGGTATGACCCAGTCGATGTTGTATTCTTCCCTCATGGCGGTCACCGTAGAACAGTCGTTGCCGTGTCCAGTCGTCGTCGGTGGTATCGCTCGAGCTCGGACAACTAGACAACGGCAGACCAGAACATGACGACGGGTATCGGTCGTGTGCAGTAGACTTGTCAAAAACGGGGGCAGTTAATAATTACTCTATTCTTCATCGATCGGTATAATCCAATATGCATGCTAGACGGACACACGGGGGCGGGCGGTACGGTTTTTTCTCCCTATGAATACTTAATGACGAACGTTGTAATTATAAAAAATATATTAACTCTGTATAACGGCAAAACGTGAAAAAAAAATCAAAACAAAAGAGAGAGAAAAAAATTAAAAAAAGCAACTAACGAACGCAACACTACACTGCTGGCCGCAAAACAACTACATCGTCCGCTGACGGTCGCGGTTATCAACTAAAACGACTTTCAACTACAGACAATAACCGTGCCGTGACCGCACCACACTCTATGGCGGTCATCGCCACTAGCTGTGATAACGGAGGCTGTGTGGCCGCCGCCGCAGCTGCTGTCTGTCTGTTGTCCACCAATGACAACGGCGGCCGTGAAAAACGGGTATAGCGGGTCGTCCGGCGGCAGGTGCAATTGTACAATGTCTGTGTGCATATATATATATACCGGGTATGCGGTTAGCGGTATGAGAACCACTGGTGGTGGGAAATAACGATATTGTAATGTGTCACTTGTGTGACTGTGTTGGTCTTCCTGTTGATCTTGGACGGGCAAAAGAAACTTGGGCCCAACGTTGGTGTGCAGTAAGTTGTTCTGTTGAAATTCGAAACTATTCTAATAAAATAATATTATGGTTTGTTTTGTTATCACCTCTCAATAGTTGTCTATATTTTGGCTGACAAGGTATACTGTAATAATTACAATGACGTGGTTTTATTTATTAAAAAAAAATTAGCATTTCCAACTGCAACGTTTAGAGTTATAGTATTAATAATAGATAGTAGGTACAACTCTTAAGGCTTGAAAAAAAAAATCATAATTTTTCGAAATTTACTAGTTCAGTGTTGTTTTGTAAAAATATCACATTTTTCAAAGACCTTCAATGAGTAGCGTGAATCATCTAAATTTTTTTTTTTTTGAAAATCATTGTCCAACTCCTACTTACAATATATGAACTACAAAATACACAAATGACCCTGTGTGTAATAGTTAAATATTTTAAAAATTCTTGAAAAAAAAGTAACTTTTTGATATCTAATTAGGTACTTGTTAAACTTATATTATTTCATGTAAAATAAACATACTTTACCTAATCGAATGCGTCTCAAGAGTTCAAAATACTTATTGTAAATTATTAAAAATTATGAATAGCATAACCTTAACTCTTTTTGAGTGCATTTTGTTGTACAGTAAAACTATTGTCATGTTTTTAGTTATAACTGCAACAATTTGAGACAGAAAGTTGTTTTTTATATTAAATATTTAAGTTGGTAAAATAGTTTGAAAAATATCGACCAAAAAAAAAATGCATTTCTCACACCGTAGAAAATATATTACATTAATTATTATCAAAACTATTATACAATGTTATAATATATATATATATACATATATATATATATATATACATATATATTAATGTTGTTTATCAAGTATTATATTTGCAATACATTAAGGTCGAGTGAGCATATTAAATTTAATAAACTAGAAATAATATGGGTCAAATGCAATTTTTTTTTATAGAAAGTCCCGAACAATGTTTGTAAATTACATTACACAACTAAAAGCGTTGAATTAAAATTAAAAAAATGATTAGCCATTTTATTAAAACAAAAAAAGTAGCACTTCAACTGCAGAAGAATTATTGTAACGTTTAACATGTATTTTGATAAAACAATGTTTTTTGCTACTTGGGACAGATTCGACAGATTATTATAAACCCTGTGACCATTATGATCTCCAAATGATATGTACACCAGTGTTTTCAATAGGTATACTGTCTTGAAAAGAATTTTAATTACACTTTTTTGGTTGTCTTTCAATATAATAGGTCTAAAATTGTTCTTGCTACTTTCTCTATTCAGTCACTACTACTTTAGCAGTATTCTACTTACGGTATTGTCTGTGATGAAGTTATTCGATAAATAATATTGTTCTAGAGATGTACAGATAGGTAAACGGGAAAAAGCAATCCTTTTGCAATGGCGGAATTAAATATATTATATTTGAAATAATATACTACAAGTGATATAATATTACTCGGACACAGCTGCTGTGTGACATCTGCTAACAATAATAATATTATTATGTTTGCTTAAGTATTGACAGAATTACAAAGGCTGCTAGAGATAAACTACATATAATACCGGTGTGCATAAGATGCTGTGTAAATAATTTCCATTGTTACAATAGATAAAATAGAAATATACCAGTAATTAACAATATATATTATTATATAAAACGGATATCAATATAAATAGCTGCACAGGCGGATTCTGTCGGAGGCCACCGAGGTGATCAATTTTTGTTTTATTAAGACCTACTTAGTTCATACATATTTTATAAACGATAAAATTATATCTTAAGTGCAATAAGTCAAATAGTATATGATTAGCATAAACTGATACTAATTTGACCATATTTGTTTCAAAATTATCAAAAACATTTGGCTTGGATCAATTAACACGAACTGTCCAAAACAAAAGCCTTCATATAAGTAATTCAGTGATATTTTTAAAGACAAACGAGCCGCTAATAATTTTCATATCTATTGTTTCTTTTACCAGACTCAACATAATAATTGGCCCCTATAATAACAGCTATTATATTATTATCTAGAAAGAATGAATATAATATTGGTATAATAATATAATACTAATTGTTTCTCTTATAATATTTAAAAAAACTATTAGCGTGATACTTCAAAAACTTGTTAGTTTTGTTTATTTTTCATGTTGTTAGATAGGAGCCAGATGATGCTTTCGAAATTCTACCCCCAAAGTATTAACTAGTTAAAGTTTTTTTTAAGTTTATGAATTATGCACGACACACTAACAATCATACAAATTCAAAACTTTATTACTTACACAGCAAGTATACATTTTAGTATATATTGTATTGAAAAATACAATAATTTTGGAGTATTTATTCATAATATTATAAAATATGAAATTAACCATTTCAGTCAGGTTCAAGTATTATGGTGGTAGTATTATAGTATTTAAATCCAGTTTCAACCAGTTCTACATTATCATTTGATTGCTTTAAACAAATTTAGTGTTATATTTATTTGGCGGTTGCATTTTTTTAAAATATAAACTAAGCCAGTACATGACATAAAACACATGTGACATTAATGAAGAATGAAGTGATAATAAAAAAAAATAACATTATCTCCTCAGCACATCTGTGGAGTTGGCGCAGGTTTAGCTTGTTTTATTCTAGTTTAAACAACTCACATATTATTCGTTTCCGTTTTGTGGTTAGAAAAAAAAAACTATCAAACTGATTTGACCAAATAAGCACAATAATATTATTACGATAAAATGATGTGGTGTAATTTGCATAGATCCATGTTAAAACGACATTAGTCCCATTACTAGAACATTATGAAAATTATGTAAAATTGCTTCAGCCAAGTACTGAAGTTGGTTAATTACATACAATTATAGGTTTTTGTAAAAAGGTCTCAGTCCACGATACTTAAATACTAATTATCAAGACTGCGTTTTTGAATTTCATTTTACTATCCAAAAGCCATTATAGAGATCTTACAATTTTATACTTTCAAAGTTATAGCTATAGTAATTTGTCAGAGGTATAAATATTCTACTTACTTCCGGGTCAATATAACCGGTTTTTGATATAATATGTAATTTCACTACCTTATAAATGAAATGCCATAGTGCATATAATTATAGTCAAAAAAATACATTGGACCTAAGACGTTACTCCAATGCATTATGTCTTAAAACGTTAAACATAATATAATTGTTACTGTCAAAATTATTGTTTCTTTAAAATTAATTTAATAAAAATAGTAAAAAATACATAGGTACATTTTTATAGCCTTTTTAATAAAATATTATGCCTGATAATTTTTATAATACACTTAGGTAAAATTGAAAAACTACATTACTATGTTAATTAAAAAAAATTTCAAAAGAAAAGTAATTATCATAATATCATTTGTTTTTTAACAATGAAAGAATATATTAATAATTAATTTTGATGATACGTTTTGTTTTTTATTTAATTGTCATTCAATTCATTTGTTCACTTTATGCTATTAATTGGAATCCAGTCTTTATAAAATATTATATTAAATAAATAAATACAATTTAATATATACATATACCTCTATTCCCTTATTTTATTATTTCAAATGTTTAATGTTAATGATAATATAATATTCCAAAAAAAAAATGTGTTTTTAATCAATTTTTTTTTACTTGGATAAACTACAATATAATTTTAAAGGAGGTAAAAAACAAGCAAAAACAAATGTATTAACGAAAAATAAATAAACATTGATCAATTTCAGGTCATTTAAAAAAACTAACCTCTAACCGAACCTATTAGATCCATAGCGCTAATCTCATATTTTAGTATTACTCAGTACTTTATGCATTTAAAATAAAATATACTATTTAATTGAATTAAAAAGCTGTTTATATTTAAACTATTTAATAAAATTAGTACAATATAAACATGTTTTTATGACATGGTAATTATTTTTTATGGAATCATAATGTTTATATTTACTATTGCACTGAAACCATTCATGTGCATTTATGTAGTAATTAAAAATTCTACAATTATTTTGCTATTAACGTTGCTATTATATTTTGCTTGCATTGAAATGTCTTTCTAATGTAAACCAACAACATTAGACCGAATAAGCATTTATTAAGTATTATTACTCTTTATGTAATTTCAATACCAAGGCATTTTTATTGAACGGTTAGGTTAGGTTAGGTTAGGTTAACTGAATACCTTCTCAGTTTCGAATCATTTGCGTTTTGCGTTGGATTGTTTATGATTTTTTTTTGTTATTAATTGTAACGTAGTACACATAAGGTCATCCACAAGTGTCAGATTTCACATCTGTTATCACTTTTTGTAATTACTATAAACGTACACAATTTTGAAAACTCAACGTGTGTGCGTGATAAAATTAAATATGCATTTTCTTTTAATAAGATCTATCTAGGTACGTTTGTTTTTTGTTTTTCTTCTATTTTAGTACTACTATACTACCACTATTATACTATACTTGAGTGAACCATATAATGTACAATAGAACCATAGTTGTTACTTAAACAATATAAAAAAAATTGCAAATCTTTAACAAAAGTAAAAAATATTCTCACATTGTGTGTAAAATTTAAATTAGGTATTTCACAAATACATTTTATGCATTTAAGCCATTATACCGTATTTTAATCTAGGATTGCAATAAAAAAATGCGATATCATATTTTGTTTTTTATCATAATGTATTAATTAATTATTTAATACAAAATATTTAAACTTGGTACCTATTATTTTTTGGAGTT